CAATTGTAAAAGAGTGAAACTAGAACACTTTCTAACACCATACACAAAAATAAACTCAAAATGGATTAAAGATCTGAATGTAAGACCAGAAACTATAAAACTCCTAGAAGAGATCATAGGCAAAACACTCTCCAACATAAATCAGAGCAAGATCCTCTATGAGCCACCTCCCAGAATATTGGAAATAAAAGCAAAAATGAACAAATGGGACCTAATTAAACTTAAAAGCTTTTGCACACAAAGGAAACTATAAGCAATGTGAAAAGACAGCCTTCAGAATGGGAGAACATAATAGCAAATGAAGAAACAGACAAAGGATTAATCTCAGAAATATACAAGCAACTCCTGCCACTCAATTCCAGAAAAATAAATGACCCAATCAAAAAATGGGCCAAAGATCTAAACAGACACTTCTCCAAAGAAGACATACAGATGGCTAACAAACACATGAAAAGGTGCTCAACATTTAAGTCTTTAATCCACTTAGAGTTTATCTTTGTGTATGGTGTTAGGAAGTGTTCTAACTTCATTCTTTTACATGTAGCTGTTCAATTTTCCCAGCACCATTTATTGAAGAGGCTGTCTTTGCCCCATTGTATATGCTTGCCTCCTTTGTCAAAAATAAGTTACCCTTAGGTGCATTGGTTTATTTCTGGGCTTTCTGTCTTGTTCCATTGGTCTATATTTCTGGTTTTGTGCCAGTACCATACTGTCTTGATAACTGTAGCTTTGTAGTATAATTTGAAGTTAAGAAGGTTGATTCCTCCAGCTCCATTCTTCTTTCTCAAGACTGCTTTGGCTACTTGGGGTCTTTTGTGTGTCCATATGAATTGTGAAATTTTTTGCTCTAGTTCTGTGAAAAATGCCATTGGTAATTTGATAGGGATAGCATTGAATCTGTAGATTGCATTTGGTAGTATAGTCATTTTTACAATATTGATTCTTCCTACCCAGGAACATGGCATATCTCTCCATCTGTTTATGTCATCTTTGATCTCTTTAATTTGTGTCTTATAATTTTCTGTGTACAGTTCTTTTGTCTCCTTAGGTAGGTTTATTCCTAGATATTTAATTCTTTTTGTTTCAATGGTGAATAGGATTGATTCCTTAATTTCTCTAATTTTTATTGTTAGTATATAGAAATGCAAGTGATTTCTGTGTATTTGATTTTGTATCCTGCAACTGTGCTTAATTCATTGATTAGCTCTAGTAACTTTATGATACTATCTTTAGGGTTTTCTATGTACAGTATCATGTCATCTGCAAACAGTGAGAGCTTAACTTTTTCTTGTCCGACCTGGATTCCTTTTATTTCTTTTTCTTCTCTGATTGCTGTAGCTTGGACTCCCAGAAATATGTTGAATAATAGTGGTGAAAGTGGACACCCTTGTCTTGTTCCTGATCTTAGGGGGAATGCTTTCAGTTTTTCACCATTGAGAATAATGTTTGCTGTTGGCTTATCATATATGGCCTTTGCTGTGTTGAAGTAGGTTCCTTCTGTATGCATTTTTTGATCATTTTGAATCATAAATGGGTGCTGAATTTTGTCAAAAGCTTTTTCTGCATCTATTGAGATTATCATATGGTTTTTACCTTTCAATTTGTTAATATGGTGTATCACATTGATTGATTTGCATATATTGAAGAATCCTTGCATCCCTGGAATAAATTCAACTTGATCAGGGTGTATGAGCTTTTTGATATGTTGTTGAATTCTGTTTGCTAAAATTTTGTTGAGGATTTTTGCATCTATGTTCATCAGTGATATTGGCCTGTAGTTTTCTTTTTTTGTGTTGTCTTTGTCTGGTTTTGGTATCAGGGTCATAGTGGCCTTGTAGAATGAGTTTGGAAGTGTTTCTTCCTCTGCAATGTTTTGAAAGAATTTTAGAAGGATAGGCGTTAGCTCTTCTCTAAAAGTTTGGTAGAATATTTCTGTGAAGCCATTTGGTTTTGGGCTTTTGTTTTTTGGGAGATTTTTTTTTTTATCACAGCTTCAATTCTAGTGCTTGTAGTTGGGTTGTTCATAATTTCTATTTCTTCCTGGTTCAGTCTTGGAAGATTGAACTTTTCTAAGACTCTTTCCATTTCTTCCAGGTTGTTTATTTTATTGCCATATAGTTGTTCATAGTCATCTTATAATCCTTTGTATTTCTGCATTGTCTGTTGTAACCTCTCCTTTTTCATCTCTAATTTTGTTGGTTTGATTCTCCTCTCTTTTTTTCTTGATGAGTCTGGCCAAAGGTTTGTCAATTTTGCTTATCTTCTCGAAGAACCAGCTTTCGGTTTAATTAATCTTACTATTGTTTCTTTCATTTCTTTTTCATTTATTTCTGCTCAGATCTTTATCATTTCTTTCCTTCAATTAATTTTGGGGTTTTTTTTTGTTCTTTTTCCCATTGTTTTAGGTGTAAAGTTAGGTTGTGTATTTTATGTTTTCCCTGTTTCTTAGGGTAGGATTGTATTGGTAAAAAGTTAAGTGAAGTAAAGTGAAGTGAAGTTGCTCAGTCGTGTCTGACTCTTTGTGACCCCACGCACTGTAGTCACAAAGCTCCTCTGTCCATGGAATTTTCCAGGCAAGAGTACTGGAGTGGTTTGCTATTTCCTTCTCCAGGGGATCTTCCCAGTCCAGGGATTGAACCTGGGTCCCCCATATTGCAGGCAGATGCTTTACTGTCTGAGCCACGAGGACTTCCCTCTTAGAATTGCTTTTGCTGCATCCCATAGGTTTTGAGTTGTCGTGTTTTCATTGTCATTTGTTTCTCGAAATTTTTTTATTTCCCTTTTGATTTCTTTGGTAACCTGTTGATTATTTAGAAATGTATTGTTTAATCTCCATGTGTTTGTGTCTCTTACAGTTTTTTTCTTGTAATTGATATCTAGTCTCATAGCATTGTGGTTGGAGAAGATGCTTGATATGATTTCAGTTTTCTTAAATTTACTGAGTCTTGATTTGTGACCCAAGATATGGTCTATCCTGGAGAATGTTCCATGTGCACTTGAGAAGAAGGTGTATTCTTCTGCATTTGGATGGAATGTCTTGAAGATATCAATGAGATCCATCTCATCTAATGTATCATTTAAGACTTGTGTTTCTTTGTTGATTTTCTGTTTTGATGATCTGTCCATTTGTGTGAGTGGGGTGTTAAAGTCTCCTACTATTATTGTGTTACTGTCAGTTTCTCCTTTTATGTCTGTTAGTGTTTGTTTTATGTATTGAGGTGCTCCTATGTTGAGTGCATAGATATTTCCAGTTATTATGTCTTCCTCTTGGATTGATCCCTTGATCATTTTGTAGTGTCCTTATCTCTAGTAATTTTTATTTTAAGGTCTATTTTGTTTGATATGAGAATTGCTACTCCAGCTTTCTTTTGCATCCCATTTGCATGGAATATGTTTTTCCATCCTCTCACTTTCAGTCTATTATGTGTCTTTAGGTCTGAAGTGGGTTTCTTGCAGACAGCATATATATGGGTCTTGTTTTTGTATCCATTCAGTCAGTCTGTGTCTTTTGGTTGGAGCATTTAATCCACTTACATTTAAAGTAATTATTGACATATTTGTTCCTATTGATATTTTCTTAATTGTTTGGGGTTGATTTTGTAGATCTTTTTTCTTCTGCTGTATTTCTTGACTATATAAGTCCCTTTAACATTTGTTGTAAAGCTGGTTTAGTGGTACTAAATTCTCTTAACTTTTGCTTGTCTGAAAAACTTTTTATTTCTCCATCAATTTTGAATGAGATCCTTGCCGGGTACAATAATCTTAGCTGTAGAGTTTTACCTTTCAGTATTTTAAATATATCCTGCCATTCCCTTCTGGCCTGCAGAGTTTCTGCTTAAAGATCAGCTGTTAAGCAAATGGGGTTTCCCTTGTATGTTAGTTGTTGCTTCTCCCTTGCTGCCTTTAATATTCTTTCTTTGTGTTTAGTCTTTTTTTTTTTTTTTTAGTTTGATTAGTATATTTCTTGGTGTGTTTCTCCTTGGGTTTATCCTGTATGGGACTCTTTGTGACTCTTGGACTTGATTGACTGTTTCCTCTTCCATGTTGGGGAAATTTTCAACTATAATCTCTTCAAAAATTTTCTGACACATTTTCTTTTTCTCTTCTTCTTCTGTGACCCCTATAATTCGAATGTTGGTGCATTTGATATTGTCCCAGAGGTCTCTGAGACTGTCCTCAGTTCTTTTCATTCTTTTTACTTTATTCTGCTCTTCAGAAGTTATTTCTACCATTTTATAATCCAGCTCGTTGATTCGTTCTTCTGCTTCAGATATTCTGCTATTGATTCCTTCTAGAGTATTTTTAATTTCAGTAGTTCTGTTGTTTGTCTCTGCATGTTTATTCTTTAATTCTTCTAGGTCTTTGTTAATTGATTCTTGCATTTTCTCCATTTTGTTTTCAAGGTTTTTGATCATCTTTACTGTAACTATTCTGAATTCTTTTTCAGGTAGTTTGCCTATTTCCTCTTCATGTGTTTGGGCTTCTGTGTTTCTAGTTTGTTCCTTCATTTATGTAGTATTTCTCTGCCTTTTCATTATTCTTTTTAACTTATTGTGTTTGAGGTCTCCTTTTCTCAGGCTTCAAGGAAAGTTTAATTCTTTACTTGAAAAAAGTTGAATTCTTTCTTCCTTTTGGTTTCTGCCCTCCCAAAGTTGATCCAGTGGTTTGTGTAAGTTTTGTATAGGGTGAGATTTGTGCGGAGTTTTTGATTGTTTGTTTGTTTTTCCTCTGATGGGCAAGGCTGAGTGAGGTGTTAACCCTGTCTGCTGATGATTCGGTCTGTACTTTTGTTTTGTTTGTTGTTTACATGAGGCGTCCTGCACAGGGTGCTACTGGTGGTTGGATGATGCCGGGTCTTGTATTCAGGTGGTTTCCTTTGTGTGAGTTCTCACTGTTTGATACTCCCTAGGGTTAGTTCTCTGGTACTCTAGGGTCTTGGAGTCAGTGCTCCCATTCCAAAGGCTCAGGGCTTGATCTTGAGTTTTGCGTGGTTGTATATATTCTTTCCCACCGGCCAGGCACTCCTGTCTGCTCTCAGCTGGTGTTCTGCATGCACGTCTGTGTCTGAAGCTGTATTCTTGCCGTATCCGTGGAGAGAGGGGTACTCCACCTCCACCTACTCCTCCGCCATCTGTTTCTCCCCATATAAATATTCTTATTTACTTGTTTTCCTGTGGTGTGGTCTTCCAGGTAAGGACTCAGGGCCGTGGTGGCCACACTTCAGAGTCTCACATACATAAGCAATTAAGAAGTATCTATTCTTGTACATCCATGTACTAATGCTTAGAGTCCATAGGAAAAACTCTAAATTGATCCCTTAGAAGCAAGACGTTGTCTACCAATGCCACTGTGTACTACGTAGCTGGATATTCAAACTGCACCTCAATATTTGATGTTCTCATGCATGCTAAGTTGCTTCAGTCCTGTCTGACTCTGTGCAACCCTATGGACTATAATCTGCCAGGCTCCTCTGTCCAGATTTTCCAGGCAAGAGTTCGGGAGTAGGTTATTATGCCCTCCTCCAGGGGATCTTCCCGACCCAGGGATCGAACCCACATCTCTTATGTCACCTGCATTGGCAGGTGGATTCTTTTTCGGTAGTGCCACCTGAGAACTGCTCCTCAATATTTGATGTTCTCAGTCACATTCATTTTAGCCATTTTTGTAGGTGAATAGTGATATCTCATTGTGATTATTTACTATTTTTAATTCCAATTTTAGAGCAATTTGAGTACTGTAGAACACTCAGAACTGTGAGGCTCTGTTAGGTGCAAACACATTAGGGGTTGTTATGTCTTCCTGGTGAATTGACCCTTTTTATCATCATATTCCTCTTTATCCCTGATAACTTGCTCTGAAGTCTGCTCTGTCTGAAATTAATATAGTGCCTCTTGCTGTCTTTCGATTACTGTTAATATGGCACATCTTTCTCTATCCATTTATTTTTAACCTATATGTGTCTTTATATTTAAAGTGATTTCTTATAGACAACATCTAGTTAACCTTGTTTTTGACCCACTCTGACAACCTCTGTCTTTAATTAGTACATTTAGATTGATTTTTAAAAACTTTATTTTATATTGGAGTATAGTTAATTAACAATGTTTGTTAGTTTTAGGTATACAGCAAAGAGACTCAGTTATACATATACATGTATCCATTCTTTTTAAAATTCTTTTCCTATTTACGTTGTTACATAATATTGACCAGAGTTCCCTGTGCTATATAGTAGTCCTTTGTTGGTTATCCATTTATTTATTTTTCAAACTTTAAACTTTTTATTTTGTGTTGCGGTATAGCAGGTTAACAATGTTGTGGTAGTTTCAGGTGAACAGCAAAGGGACTCAGTTCTAAACAGACACATATCCATTCTCTCCCAAACCCCTCTCCCATCCAGGCTGGCACATAACATTGAGTAGAGTTCCATGTGCTATACAATAGGTCCTTGCTGTTTATCCATTTTAAACATAGCAGTGTTTGGGATTGACATAGCATGTCAGCCCCAAACTCCCTAACTATCCTTCCCCCCACATTTTGCCCTGGTAACCATAAATTCATTCCCTAAGTCTGTAAGTCTGTTTCTACTTTGTAAATAAGTTCATTTGTATCATTTTTTAGATTCTACATATAAGTGATATCACACAATATTTGTCCTTGTCTCACTGACTTCACTCAGTGTGACAATCTCTAGGTCCATCCATGTTGCTGCAAATGGAAGTATTTCATTCTTTTTAATGACTGAATAAAATCCCATGGTATATATGTACCACATCTTCTTTATTCATTCCTCTGTCAATGGACACTTAGGTTGCTTCCATGCCATGGCTACTGTAAACAGATCTGCTGTAAACATTGGTGTGCATATATCCTTCTGGACCATGTTTTTCTCTGGATATACGCCCCAGAGTGGGATTGTAAGATCATATAATAGCTCTATTTTTAGTTTAAGAAACATCCATACTGTTCTCCACAGTGGCTGTACCAATTTACGTTCCCACCAATAGGGTAGGAAGGTCTGCTTCTCCCCACACCCTCTCCACCATTTATTGTCTGTGAATTTTTTGATGATGGCTATTCTGACTGGAGTGAGGTGTTATCTCACTGTAGTTTGATTTGTATTTCTCTAATAATTAGTGATATCAGACATCTTTTCATGTGCCTTTTGGCCATTTGTATGTCTTTTTTTTTTTAAAATAAATGTCTATTTAGATCTTCTGCCCATTTTTTTATTGGGTTTTTTGTTTTGATGGTATTAGCCCACATGAGCTGGTTGTAAATTTGGAGACTAATCCCTTGTTGGTCTCATCATTTGCAAATATTTTCTCTGATCCTTCAGGTTGTCTTTTTGTTTTGTTTGTGGTTTCCTTTTTTGTGCAAAAGCTTTTGAGTTTAATTAGGTCCAATTTATTTACCTTTGTTTTTATTTCCATTACTCTGAGAGATGAATTGAAAAAGATCTTGCTGTGATTTATGTCAGAGAGGGTTCTGCCTATGTTTTCCCCTAAACTTAAGAATTTTATAATATCAAGTTTTACTTTTACCTCTTTAATCTATTTTGAGTTTATTTTGGGTATGGTGTTAAAGATGCCCTAATATAATTTCTTAACACATAGCTGTCCATTTTTGCCAACACTTTTTACTGAAGAGGTTGTCTTTCTTCCATTGTATAGTCTCGCCTCCTTCATCATAGATTAATTGACCATAGGTTTATGGGGCTTATTTATGGGCTTTCTAGCCTGTTCCATTTATCTATACTTCTGTTTTTGTGCCAGTACCATACTGTTTTGATGATCATACCTTTGTAGTATAGTTTGAAGTCAGGGAGTCTGATTCTTCTAACTCCTTTTTTCTTTCTCAAGACTGCTTTGGCTATATGGGGTCTTTTGTGTCTCCACACAAATTTTAAGATTTTTCATTCTAGTTCTGTGAAAAATGCCATTGAGAATTTGATAGGAATTGCATTGAATCTGTTGATTGCCTTGGGTATCATAGTCATTTTGATGATACTGATTCTTCCAATCCAAGAACATGGTATAGCTTTCCATCTGTTGGTGTCATCTTTTATTTCTCTTAGCAATGTCTTATACTTTTTTCTGAAGTACAGTAGTTGGTTGATGTTTAAAGTGATTGTTGAATAGTTAGATTAATATCTCCCGTATTTTTTGCTTAGTGTTTGTTGCCCTTGTTTATTCTTATTTTTGTCTCTTACTCTTTTTCTGCCTTTTGTGGTTTTAAGTGGGCACTTTATATAATTCTGTTTTCTTTCTTACCTTCAGTTCAGTTCAGTTCAGTGGCTCAGTCGTGTTCTATTTTTGCAACTCCGTGGACTGCAGCACACCAGGCTTCCCTCTCTATCACCAACTCCCGGAGTTTACTCAAACTCATGTCCATCGAATGGGTAATGCCATCCAACCATCTCATCCTCTGTCGTCCCCATCTCCTCCTGCCTTCAATCTTTCCCAACATCAGCGTCTTTGCAAATGAGTCAGTTCCTCGCATCAGGTGGCCAAAGTATTGGAGTTTCAGCTTCAGCATCAGTCCTTCCAATGAATATTCAGGACTGATTTTCTTTAGGATGGACAGGTTGGATCTCCTTTCAGTCCAAGGGACTGTTAAGAGTCTTCTCCAACACCACAGTCCAAAAGCATCAATTCTTCAGTGCTCAGCTTTCTTTATGGTCTAACTCTTACATCCATACATGACTACTGGAAAAACCATAGCTTTGACTTGATGGACCTTTGTTGGCAAAGTAATGTCTCTGCTTTTTAATATGCTGTCTAGGTTGGTCATAGCTTTTCTTCCAAGGTGCAAGCGTCTTTTAATTTCATGGCTGCAGTCACCATCTGCAGTGATTTTGGAGCCCCCAAAAAATAAAGTCTCTCACTGTTTCCATTGTTTCCCCATCTATTTGCAATGAAGTGATGGGACCAGGTGCTATGATCTTAATTTTCTGAATGTTGAGTTTTAAGCCAACTTTTCCACTCTCCTCTTTCACTTTCATCAAGAGGTTCTTTAGTTCTTCTTTGCTTTCTGCCATAAGGGCGGTGTCATCTGCATATCTGAGGTTATTGATATTTCTCCCAGCAATCTTGATCCAGCTTGTGCTTCATCCAGCCCAGCATTTTGCATAATGTAATCTGCATATAAGTTAAGTGAGCAGGGTGACAATATACAGTCTTGATATACTCCTTTCCTGATTTGGAACTAATCTGTTGTTTCATGTCCAGTTCTGTTTCTTCTTGACCTGCATACAGATTTATCAGGAAGCAGGTAAGGTGGTCTGGTATTCCCATCTCTTTAAGAATTTTCCACAGTTTGTTGTGATCCACACAGTCAAAGGCTTGGTATTGTCAATAAAGCAGAAGTAAATGTTTTTCTGGAACTATCTTGCTTTTCAATGATCCAACAGCTGTTGGCAATTTGATCTCTGGTTCCTCTGCTTTCCTAAATCCAGTTTAAACATCTGGAAGTTCACAGTTCATTTACTGTTGAAGCCTTGTTTGGAGAATTTTGAGCATTACTTTGGAAGTGTGTGAGATGAATGCAATTGTGTGGTAGTTTGAACAATATTTGGCATTGCCTTTCTTTGGGATTGGAATGAAAACTGACCTTTTCCAGTCCTATGGCCACTGCTGAGTTTTCCAAATGTGCTGGTATATTGAGTGCAGCACTTTCATAACATCATCTTTTAGAATTTGAAATAGCTCAACTGGAATTCCATTAGCTCCAATAGCTTTGTTCGTAGTGATGCTTCCTAAGGCCCACTTGACTTCACATTCTAAGATGTCTGGCTCTAAGTGGGTGATCACACCATCCTGGTTATCTGGGTCATAAAGATCTTTTTTATATAGTACTTCTGTGTATTCTTGCCACCTCTTCTTAAATCTTCTGCTTCTGTTAGGTCCATACCATTTCTGTCCTTTATTGTACCTGTCTTTGCATGAAATGTTCCCTTTGTATCTCTAATTTTCTTGAACAGATCTCTAGTCTTTCCCATTCTATTATTTCCCTCTATTTCTTTCCATTGATCACTGAGGAAGGCTTTCTTATCTCTCCTTGCTATTCTTTGGAACTCTGCTTTCAGATGGGTATATCTTTCCTTTTCTTCCTTGCCTTTAGCTTCTCTTCTTTTCTCAGCTATTTGTAGGGCCTCCTCAGGCAACCATTTTGCCTTTTTGTATTTCTTTTTCTTGGGGATGGTCTTGATCACTGCCTCCTATACAATGTCACAAATCTCCATCCATAGTTCTTCAGGCACTCTGTCTCTCAGATCTAATGCTTTGAATATATTTGTCACTTCCACTGTATAATCATAAGGGATTTGATTTAGGTCATACCTGTATGGTCTAGTAGTTTTCCCTACTTTCTTCAATTTAAGTCTGAATTTGGCAATAAGGAGTTCATGATCTGAGTCACAGTCAGTTCCCCATCTTGTTTTTGCTGACTGTATAAGAACTTCTCCATCTTTGGATGCAAAGAATATAATCAATCTGATTTTGGTGTTGACCATATGGTGATGTCCATGTGTAGAGTCTTCTCTTGTGTTGCTGGAAGAGGGTGTTTGCTATGACCAGTGCATTCTCTTAGCAAAACTCTGTTGGCCTTTGCCCTGCTTTCTTTTGTACTCCAAGGCCAAACTGGCCTGTTACTCCAGGTATCTCTTGACTTCCTACTTTTGCATTCCACTCCCCTATAATGAAAAGGTCATCTTTTTTGGGTATTAGTTCTAGAAGTTCTTGTATGTCTTCATAGAACCGTTCAATTTCAGCATCTTCAGCATTACTGGTTGGGGCATAGACTTGGATTACTGTGATATTGAATGGTTTAACTTGGAAACGACCAGAGATCATTCTGTCGTTTTTGAGAATGCATCCAAGTACTGCATTTTGTACTCTTTTGTTGACTATGAGGGCTAATCCATTTCTTCTAAGGGATTCTTGCCCACAGTAGTAGATATAATTGTCATCTGAGTTAAATTCATGCATTCCAGTCCATTTTATTTAGCTGATTCCTAAAAAGTTGATGTTCACTCTTGCCATCTCCTGTTTGACCACTTCCAATTTGCCTTGATTCATGGACCTAACATTCCAGGTTCCTATGCAATATTGCTCTTTACAGCATCGGACCTTGCTTCTATCACCAGTCCCATCCACAACTGGGTGTTGTTTTTGCTTTGGCTCTGTCTCTTCATTCTTTCTGGAGTTATTTCTCCACTGATCTCCAGTAGCATATTGGGCACCTACCAACCTGGGGAGTTCATCTTTCAGTGTCCTATCTTTTTGCCTTTTCGTACTGTTCATGGTGTTCTCAAGACGAGAATACTGAGGTGGTTTGCCATTCCCTTCTCCACTGGGCCACGTTTTGTCAGAGCTCTCCACCATCAATTATATTTTTCTTTTACTCATCATCCTAGTGTTTGCAATATAAATTTACAACTACTTTCAAATAACAGTATACTACTTCATGGGTACTACAAGTACATGTAGTAACCTAATGTTCCTAATTCCTCCCTCTCCCTAGTATCATTGCTGTCATTCATTTCACTTATACATAAGTTATAATAATTAGATGCATTATTGCTATTATGAGTTTGGACAGGCTGTTATCTGTTACATGAATTAAGAATAAGGAAAATAAAATTTCACTTATTCCTTCTCTGATTTCTTCCTTTATGTAGATTCTGACTTGTATCATTTTCCTTCTCCCTGAAGAACTTATTTTGACATTTCTGGCAAGACAAGTCTGCTGGCAACAGATTCCCCTCATTTTTGTCTAAAAAAATGTGTATTTCTCCTTCATTTTTGAAGAACAATTTTGGAGGATGCAAAATTCCAGGTTAGTGGGTTTTTTTTTTTCTCTCAACATTTAAAATGTTTCACTCCGTTTTCTTTTTATTTGTGTTGTTTCTGAGAAACTGGATATAATTCTTATCATTGCTCTGCAGTAGGTAAGCTTTTTTTCCTTGCTTCTTCAGGATATTTTTTAATCTTTGATTTTTCTGTAGCTTAAAATGATATGCATACATTTAGTTTTTTTTCTGCTTCTTCTTTTTTGTCATTCATCCTTATTGGTGTTCTCTGAGTTTCCTGGATCTGTGATTTGGTGTCTGATATTAACTTGGAAGAAATTCTCAATCATTATTGCTTCAAATATTTCTTCTGTTTCTTTCTTTTTCTCCTTCTGTTATTCACGTTGCACATATAACACACCCTTTGTAGTTGTCCCACAGTTCTTAGATATTCTATTCTTTTTCTTTTCTCCCCTAATCTCTTTTCTGACTGCTTTTCAGTCTTGGAGGTTTCTACTGAGATATCTTCAAGCTCAGAGAGTCTTTCCTCAGCCTGGTCAAATATACTGAGGTAGTCCTCATTTATGTTACAGTATTTTTGATCTCTAACATTTATCTTCATTTCTTTCTTGGAGTATCCACCTCTTTGCTTACATTGCCTATGTGTTCTTGCATGTAATCTACTTTGCCTGTTGGTGCCATTAGCATATCAATCATAGTTGTATAGAATTCCTGGTCTGATAATTCCAACATCCCTGCCATATCTGACAGTGGTTCTGATGCCTTCTCTCTCTCTTCAAATTGTGGAGGTTTGCATTTTGCTATGTCTTGTAATTTTTTCCTTAATAGCTGGACATGATCTACTGGGTAAAGGGACTGCTATAAATAGGCCTTTAGTAAATGGAATTGTTTTATTTCCTTTTCAAATTGTTCATTATTCATGCAAAAAATACAACTGATTTTTGTTTATTGGTCTTATACCCAACACCTTGATTTAAGATGTCGAGCCTCCAGAACTCTGAGGCAAATTTCTGTTGTTTAAGCTATGCAACTTGTGGTAATTTGTTACAACAGCCCAAGAAACTAATACAAGGGCCCATCTGCATGGTCCAGTATACTACACTTATCTCAAAATTCTTAATTAATCACATGTACAAAGATCCTTTTTTCCAAATAAGGCAACACTAGAGGTTCTAGGGATTAGGACACGGCTGTCTTCGTGGGGGGTGGGGGAGTATCAGCCTACCACAGATATATTCATTTTCATTCGGTTTTTTAAAAATATTTATTTTTGGCTGTGCTGGATCTTAGTTGCTGCGCAGCTCTTCTCTAGTTGCAGTCAGCGGGGGCTACTCTTCATTGCAGTGTGTGGACTTCTCATTGTGGTGGCTTCTCTTGTTGCAGAGCACAGCTCTAGGCATTGGGGCTTCAGTAGTTGTAGCTCCCAGGCTCTAGAGCACAGACTCAATAGTTGTGGTGCATGGGCTTAGTTGCTCTGTGGCATGTGGGGTCCTCCTGGATCAAGGATCAAAACTGTGTCTCCTGCATGGGCAGTCAGATTCTTAACAACTGAGCCACCAGGGAAGCCCCATTCAGTTTAATTTAACTTCTAATTTCCTTTTTAATCTCTTCTTCAACTCATCAGTTTTCAAATTCTTCTTTAATCCATGTTCTTTTGGCTTGCAAATATATTTCTCTTATTGATTTCTGGTTTAAATCTAGTGTGGTCAGAAAACACGCTTTGTATGACTTTCATACTTTTGAGTTTCTTGGAAATTGTTTTATATACCAGTGGATGGCCCATATTGCTAAATGTTTTATGTTTCCTTGAAAATAATGTATATACTCTATTTCTGATGGGTGGAGTGTTTTATAAATGTCAGTTAGCTCAAGTATGTTGATAGTATTGTAACAATTGCCTAAACTCAGCTGATGCCTGAGACTCAGCAGAGCAGGTAAACCATGCAAGCAACAGGTAACTTCCATTCCCATTGCTTCCAAAACGTGTCCTTTCCCCTCTGCCTCCAGAATCACCTCCCGAAAGCCCAGGTCTAAAGTTCTGTAATGGTGAGTGCTTTTTATTTGTGCACTAGTGCTCGCAGCATGAGTATTTGCATTTAATAGTGGTCAAAATATTTATTTGTGAATATATATAGATATCCATGCATCTTTATATAAAGAATAAATAAATTCATATTACATGTAAGTCAAGAGATTCATATTATTATGTGAAATTTATGGAATATTTAATTTCTCTCACAGAAGACAAAGCAAAGTTTGGAAATATGGATATGACCACTAACGAACATAAAAGGGCAAAATGTTGGGAAACATGCATCTAGAAATATGTTTGCATTCATCAGCCACCAACTTGGAATGTCAAACAGAGTCAAATAGATCGAGGAGATAGAAGTAAGTGTGAAAAACAAGACAAAGGTGCACACAAGAATCAGAATATTCTGGGTAGCCTTTTTCTCTGGAGAGAGCCTGGAGATGTACCTAGAGCTGTGAATATATTTGACTTGCTGTCTGTGGGTATAGAGATAAAGCATCATGGAACTACTGGTCCAGACCAAGAGCCCCACACACATCATGTCAATGAAGGCATGAATGAGAGCATAGAGTGAGGAGTTGATGGGATGACGAGGAGAACTAGAACAGTATCCAAAATAGCTCAGAGTGATGTTTCTTATCCTCTTTGGGCCAGTCACTTTCAGAGGAACCAGACTGTTTCCCAGAAAAAGCACCACCCAGCAAAGGAAACACAAAGACCCAATATACTGTGGGACTCTGGCTTTGACTTTAGCCCACCTGGATTTACTGGGGATGATTGTGATGGCCTGGAAGATACTCAGGAGGCAAGTGGAAGAGAGACAAACTTCCCGGGCCACTCTGTGAATATAAAACAAAAATTTACATCCATGATCTTCCAGAAAATTGTTCCACCCAAAAGATACCATTGTCTGGGGGATCCCCCTAGAGAGAAGGACTAAAGTGTTGGCTAAGAATATATGTTTGAGTATGTGGTCTGAAGGTCTCACCCTGTCTCCAGCATGAGAAGTGAAAATAGAAAGAAAAAAGAATAAAAAATTCCCCAAAAGTCCAATGCCAGTCTGAGACAAGAAGAAAATCCCCAATATCAAGTCAATATAACCCATTCCGTCAGTGACTGGGAATGGCAATTCTATGCATACTCAGAGTTATCTTTAGAGAAAACAAAAGATTGCCGCCAGTTACATTGCAAATGAAATCCAATGCTTATCCCAACTCCAAAATCTTTAAGAATAATACACTATTTAATATCTGCATATTCTACCCATGCCAACTCTTCCCGATAGAGGAATATATCATAAATCATATTTACAACGCAGTGCCTGCATGCTAAGTTGCTTCACTCGTGTCTGACTCTTTGTGACCCTTGGACTGTAGTCCACCAGGCTCCTCTGTCCATGGAATTCTCCAGGCAAGAATACTGCCATGCCTTCCTTCAGAGGATCTTCCTGACCCAGAGATCGAACTCGCGTCTCTTATGTCTCCTGCATTGGCAGGAGGGTTCTTTACTACCAGCGCCACCTGGTAAGGCCTTACAGCACAGTACATACACAGAAAAATTGCAAATTATTTTCTTGTCTATTTGTATATTTTATATACATGCATACATATAATCACACACATATGTATTCATATCCCTAAGTATAAAAATACATATATACTAGGAATTTTTACAGTGTTTTAAAATAAAATGGTCATTTATGTATATTTTAGGGTCACATTTACTATGAAAATCCTACTAACTCATCTGGTATAGTTCTAAGTCATTTTTTAGTGGCTACATATTTCATGGCACACATATTCCCCTTTTGATGTTTACTCACAAAGTTTCCAATCATTCTGTCAATGCAGAAAATGATGACAATAATGGACACATATTTTGATTGCTATTTCCTAGGTACTATTTTTTTTTTTGCCACACCATGCAGTTTGCAGGATCTTAGTTTCCAGACCATGGAAGGGACCTGTGCTTCCTGCGGTTGGAAGCATAAAGTCTTAACCTCTGGACCACCAGTGAAGTCCCAGCTAAGTACTGTTTTAAATGCTTTATGCATATAATCTGATTTAATTATAAAAACAGATCTATGAATCAGGTATCATGTTATCCTGTTTCACTGATAAGGCAAATGAAATAGTATCAGATTAAATAATTGCCAGTATTCACATATCTGATGAGGAGCAGAGCTGAGATTTTTATTGGCTCTTGGTCTTTCACTTTTACACCCACAGCCTCTAATATAATCAGCTTCATTATATTTTTACTGAACATATAAGAACCTAGATGTTGCAGCTGTGTGGTAAACTCCTTTTATTCTTACAGCATAAATCGACCAGAGTGAATGCTGCTCTAGAGGAGGGAAAGAGGGAGAGAATGAAGAGGGAGAAAAAGGAAAGGGGTGATGATACTGATTTTCCAAGTAGATGGAAACAAGTTAGAATTCCATCAGCAAGGTAGGAGCATACCAGTCTCCTTAATTTCCACCAATATTAGTAATTTCATTTCCCCCTGTTTGATGAGTAGAAAGTAATATTGCATCGTTGTTTTAATTTGAATTTCTTTGCTCAAGTGAATTTGAATATTTTTCTTTAAGTTTGTGTCTTTGGGGATATTTTTTGTGCACTGACTATTCACATCCATTCCTCATTTTCCTGTTAGCCTTTTCTCAAAATTTCTTAAGTTATTCTAACTATCTACCTAATCAAATTTTGTAATCTGCAGAGTACATTCTTACTAAATTGATTATTTATGTATTAATTGTGTTTATAGAATGTATTATCATACATGCATTTACTTTTATTAAATCAAATAATTCCATTTATTATTACATAGTTTCTGCTTTCCTGTCTTGTTTGATGTAGTTATCCCGCCCCTAAATTTTAGATGTAGTTGTGTAGATATTTTTTTCCAAATTATATTGCTTTATTTTTTTAATTTAAATATTTAAGCTATCTGGATATTTCTACTTCACATACCTTTTATTTAAATATTTAAGCTCAGTTTTAAGTATGGTGTAAGAAGAGTATTTTTTAGTATTTACATACACAGAAAGTTATGATCAAGCTATCAAATTAACATATTTTATTCTAAATGAAATACCTCATTTTTTATATGTCAGTTTTTTATAAATATAAGGAAATACTTTTTTTTTAAGGAAATACTTCTTAATTCTTTATTTTGTTAACTATTCTATTTCTTCTATTACCATTGTTTTTTATTTATCTTGTATATTCAAGGTTTATAATATAACCCATTTCAGTATTAAATGAGTGAATTTACTTTAAATTTCACTATTAAATAATCATAAGAGATCAAAACAGATGTTAGGAAATTATATTCAATTGAATATTAAAAGCATAATAACCCAGAGATAAACAGCATTTATTCACAAACTACATGGATCTTGTGATAATAGAAATAATAATAGAAATATTATCTTGTGATATAGATAATAGAAATGATAATTTACCTTTTAGGCAGAAACAAATCTTAAATGGCAATTATCACTGCACTTTTAAAAATTATTTTTCTGATCTAGCCTATGTGAGGAAAGAAAAAATGAGGAATGAACAATAAAAGAAACCAAGTAAAGCATTTACTTATGAGTGATAAGGAAATGTCATTGTCTTTTAAAACAAAATTATATAAAAATGCTTAGAATTAATAGAGTCTAATCAGAGTATGCATACAAAGTAAATATAAAGAAATGAGTAGATTTTTATAAACCAACACTCCAAGAATTTTGAAAATGAATTATAAGTTTCTAGCCATCAGGGCAGCATGTTTTTGTTTCAGGAATAAGAAAACAAACGAATAAAGCAAAGGTGAAAGTCCAATAATGGGTGTTTTCTAAGAAAATAAAGAGAGCAGATGGCTTTGGGCGGGAGCCGACTTGTTTGGTATCCCACAGGGGATGGTGTGTCAGACAGAAACCAGTGGTACAAGATGCACAGGGGGCTGTTTGGACCAGACAGCAGCTGAGGAAGCTCTGGACCACAGCCAAGAGGACGGGAAAACTGAGTCACAGCAGAGTTCAAACACTTCCATGAAGTTGGGAGACGTGGGTGATGCCCAAGCAAAGCACAGAAAACACACTTTACATATCCGGAAGTATACAGATATGTATCTATGGGATATTTGAATAAACCAAGCATTAGAAATAGACCAGTTCTCAGGTCAGTCACAAAACAGCCTCTGCTAGGAGTTCCCTGGCAGTCCAATTGTTAGGACTTCGTGCTCTCACTGCCAAGGGCTGGGGTTCAATCCCTAATTGGGGAACTTTACAAGATCCCAAGGTGATGGCATGGTCCAGGGGGGAAAAAAAGCCTTCTTTCAGGTTTCATTCCATGATAAGTGGTTGTCATTCTAACTTGGTAGCTGGTGGGTGGGTGATTCAGGGAAATAATCAACAATCAACCTGTGAAAACCATCTGTAGCCTGAAGGAATTGATGAAGAATAGAAATGTAAGGATAACAAAAATAAAAAGGGTAGAAAAATATATGTATAGGAAGAAATAACAATAAAAAACTATTAAAAGGGATCATTTAAATCTCTGAAGTTTCCAGACTTACATGGTTAAATGTTTTCAATATGTACTAAAGAAAGAAAAATGGGCAGCTTCTATAGCTCAGTTGGTAAAGAATCCACCTACAATGGAGGAGACACCAGTTTGATTTCTGAGTCAGGAAGATCCTCTGGAGAAGGGATAGGCTACCCTCTCCAGTATTCTTCGGCTTCTCTGTGGCTCAGCTAATAAAGAATCTGCCTGCAATGCACAAGACCTGGGTTCGATCCCTGGGTTGGGGAGATCCCCTGAAGAAGGGAACAGCTACCCACTCCAGTATTGTGGCTGGAGAATTCCATGGTCTGTATAGTCCATGGGGTTGCAAAGAGTCGGACACAACTGAGTGACTTTCACTCTAACTATATCAGGCTGTGAAACATAGAGAAACAAGCAAAATTCTCCCAGCAAGTGCCATAAGAATATGGGAACTCAAAGATTTTATTCCTTTCAATGAAAACAGAAAAATTATAATATTGCTCATAATATTTGTGTGTAAAAAGAAACATTTTATAGAAGATAGCACAGGAAAATTTAGATCTCTAAAATATTTTAAAATTCAACTTTAATTAGAGTTAGTGTTGAAGAGCAAACACACATCCTTAGAAGATTAGCTTAACAAAATCCAAGTAGTTAAGGACAAAAGTGCGAAGTCTAACCTATCCTGCAGAATAGTCTGTTCTTTCTAAGTTCTCATCAAGAGTTCAGATACAGAAAGCCCAAATGTGTGTGCTTGTTGAAATACATGATCTCATTCCCAAAACATTAATGAAATATTTAACATGATGAGAAAATCTGAATTAGAAAAATCACTGAAGTTTGGGAGGTAGAGTGCAGAGGCATGGAAGTCTAGATTTTGCCATATGATAGAAAGGTAGTATATTTCACTATATTTGAAGACAAGTAGATGAGAGGGTTGGAGAAGAGAGAAAGGGAAAAGTAAGCAAATGGATAGTTGGAGCTGCTTGAGAGGCTCATGATAGAGCTAGAATCAGAGTATTAAGAAGTCTCGTTTTTTTTTTTTTTAAGAGGTCAATATATGTTTATATTGAAGAATTTTTCTCCCTTGTGGAATCAATGCTTGAGTAACACTAGATGAAAGACTAGTGAATAATGACAAATGAAAATAATAATATCTAAAAAGTGCAAGAGGGATCTATAGAAGGATCTGTATTGGAAAGAGAAACCAGGGTAGCAGTCCTTGAATGAGAGAAAAGGAGTTGAAGAAAAATATACAAGCAGTAAAGGTGTAGACCAGAATCTGAAACAGAAAAATTGAAAGTTTAACAAAATCAAGGAGTGATCATTAAATGAGAGATAATGACTCACCGTATAAACTGTCTAAAACAGAAAGTCACTGAGCACAGATGTTGAGAGCTGAGTTGTTAGTAGGTTAAGAGAGGAAGCATGGAGCAGTATAAATACCAGCCCAGATGAGGCCGGGATGAGTTTATTGCTTTCCATGCAGCCTCTAAATTTGATTACAAATCTAGAAGACCGTCTCCCCAAAATCTGCCTATGTTATTTATCAGTCTCTAAAACTTGACAAATTTCTTGTGCAATCAGCGCACGCTGGTCACTTTGCTATGGCACTTTTTATGTTGCAATATCTTAGAAAGTTCCCTTAGGACTCAGAGAGGATGACAAGATCACATTTTGGGTGTGTAAAGGGATAGTTAAGTTTAATGTTTATTCTCTCAGTCACATCCGCTTCTTTGCCACCCCATGGACTGCAGCCCGCCAGGCTCCTCTGTCCTTGGGATTCTCTGGGCAAGAATATTGGAGTAGGTAGCC